GGTTTTAGGATCACGACGTCGACGGTAATTCGACGGTAACTAGAAGTTACACGGTTACACGGTTTAATGCGCGCGGGTTACAGCGTTACACCCGAATGACTCGGCGATAACCGTCGATACTGTGTAGGTTCGATAATGGCCGTAGATGTACGGTATAGAGTGAGATTTTCGGACTTACTAGGTGACGGTCCACTGAGCCTACTAGGCTAGAGTGTACATCTAGAGATAGGCTGTTACTCGGAACACTCCATTTACATTGTGTGAACTTACTTGATTGAATATCACTTCCAACAACGCTGTGTTTCAACAAGTCCGTCCCACCTTCCCTTTATCTTCAGGCAACTCCTCAAGCCCTTGCTCATGCGCAAAGAGCTCTGGCAGATTGCAATCCACCGAGCTAATGGCGCTCTCCAAAGCCTCTAGGAATGTTCTCAGGGTACTCAACGTCTCGAGAACTCCCGCAAGCACGCTCCACGCCCATTCATCCGGCTTCATCTCAGAATTGGTAGCAACCAAGTCCCTATACAACTGTATCTTTCGCCCGACCCACATACATTGTCACGGGCTCGCCCGACTTCATCTGGAGAGAATGCAACTCTTGCCTGAGCTGCATTTTCCTTGCATTAGTTTTGCTCTTGTAGATCTTTTCAAGGAGATCCTACGCCTCCTTGCGGTTTTGCATCCCTCAATGACCCCAAATGGTGCACCTCAACGTTGAGCCCAATGATGAAGAACGCTTTCTTTGATTGAGCTGGGTGCGCTACAGGACCCTCAACCCCATTCCATAGATCCTTGGAGGTCCAAGCTTGCGCCTTCAATCCTTAGGCACCGTGGTGCGCCATCCGTGCGCCGTTGGCCCATGACTTGTTGAAACCCGGCGTTATTGGAAATGAATGATCAACTTCACACAATACATATCGAGTGTTCGGAGTCTAGCGGCGTTGAAGCTATGTAGTCCGTGTGCTATGCTAGACTCTGTTCACCCGCCCAGACACTTTTTGCCCGCAGCCGCTTCCACTGGGATTCGAATCCTGGACCTTCCGGTCCCATGCGAGTATAGTCCGATTGGTACCGCGCTTAAATGAGGTACGGGACTTGTGACGTCGGCGTGACGTCAGCACGGTCCGTACTTACAACAAAAGTACGTCGGGGTAATAGTGGGCCCTTCCTGGTGTGGACTAGGTTCCAGTCGGCGTTCCACCCTCCAGAGTAACTCGCCGAGTAGTTAAAGAGGGCGTCCGTCTATACATATCGTCCTGGCTCGTGTTTTCCCGGACTAACTCGGAAGCACATCGTCGCCTAGCACAGTTGGCAAGGGCGTTCAACCTTCACCACGAAATCGAGCGATCGAAACT